CTCTTTGTTTGTTTGTTTATCTATTTTTTTTTTGTTCTTTATAACCAAAAAAAGCTATTCAATTAAATTTTGCAGACAACAAAAAGTTCAGAAAAAATTTTTAGCCATTTTGTTTGTGTGTTCAATCATTTTTTTTCCAACAAGAATACGAAAAAGTTTTTTTTTTCTATCCTCTTTTGCCAAATATCCGATAAAATTCCCAAAGGTTATGAAAAAAACCCAAAATTTCCTTCTGATGGTAATTTGAAAAGTTCAAACAGCAATTCTATTCAAGAAAAAAAAAAAAACAAAGGAAAAAAAGAATAAAATAAACAATTTGTTAGCAATCCTTTTTATTATGCAGTCATTTTTACTCGAATAATGCCTTCTCATCGTAGTAATTTGCGTAACTTAGAAAGAAAAAGTTGCCAAAACTAAGAGGAATAAGGCAACCGAGGTGAAAAAAAGAAAGCAAGAGAAAGGGTGGGAAGAAAAAAGAAGAAAGCAGGAAAGGAAAAAAAGGAAATGGGGAAAAGTATGCTTTTGCACCAATACTGTTTGCAGTATCAATTACTAATATGTATTTGGCCTATCGCCACAGTCACGTAGTCACTCAGTCAGTAAGCCCGGTTAATTAGTCAATAAGTAGCAGCAATAAGCATCATCAGGTTTGATGGCATTAAAAACAGATAAAAAAGTTTGTTTTAAAGAATAAAAAATAGCAGCAACAATACTTTCAATAATAATTCACATAAGAAAGAGACAAATAGAGCAGAAAAATAAAATTCATCATCAAAAAAAAGAAGTTAAAAAGTTGAAAAAAAAATGAATAAATATTTGAAGTGTTTATTTTTGCATTCATTTAATTTAGGTTTTTTCTTGCCCATCCTTCTCCCTCCCCAGCAGAAAAAAAAAGCAGAGAGAAACTTTGGCATTATTATCCCTTTTTTCTCCTGCATTTTGCATTTTTAAGTTTGATAATCCGCTTTTTGAATTAGGTGCTAAAAGTAGCACAACAGATACAGCTTTTTTTTTTTTGTTGTTTATTTTGATGTTTTTTTGTCGCAAAAAAAAGTAGATTTTCTATGAATAAGTAAATTAGATTTTAAAAAGCTGTCCAAGGAAAAAAAACTTCAAATTTTTTTCTTTTCATTTTAATTCGGGAGAGTGTATTTCAGTGGTTGAAATCATCATCGTTATCGTCATCGTCGTCCCCTGTTGTTGGGATGTATTTCTCAAAATGAACGATTATGAAAGTGTGGCTGTCTGTCCTTTTTTTTGCACTCTTCGATCAGAAAATTATCTCTATTGTTGAAGTAGCAAAGGAAAGAAAAAAAGAAACTGAACTACAAAGTAACAAATTTTAACTGACTAAAAAACAAAACCCTAATTTAATGACATCATTTGTGGTCGTTAGTATAATCAACTTCATACTAAGACATATCAGCAATAAAAACCGCAAACATTAGCTGATTGTTTCCATGCTTTGGCTCTTTTCTGTGTCTGTGTCTGTGTCTGTTTGTGCCTCTGTATATTGTTTCCGTATCTTTTCATTGCTTTCACCCAATTTGCTTAACCACTTCTTAAAAACTAATCGTAGGCATTTAGTTGTTGAAGTGGATAGGTAAGATTTTTTTTGCAGTGTCCTGTTTAAAGCTTTCCAGTTTGTTTTTATTGGATAAAATAACGATAAGCTTAACTGCGGAAGGGCAACAACAGTTCTGCCTGCCGTTTTTTTTGACTGCTGTTAATTTTTGTTCAACTACGATCACGACAAACAAAATGTATGTACATATTTGTATGTGTAATTTATGATCACAGCAGCTAGCGTAGTAGTAGACAAATAAAAGCATAAAACATCTGCTTCAATCACGACGACAATGTTTAGCTCAGTTAACCAAGACGTAAAACCCTGTTTCGCTTTACCTCCTTTCCTACTCACTCGTCTCAAAGTATCAACCTTTTTCACTTTTTCCCTCGTTTCCCAACACCCCTCCCAGATCTCCCTAATCCTCTCCACTCTCCGTCAATCCGCTCCCGTTGCTGCATAAACTAGTGAACATTCAAATTCCGATAGGTTTCTTTTTTTTCCTTAGGCTCACCTTTTTTTCCTTACGCTCACTTTTTTTTTTCGTTTTGCTTTTTGCCAATAAACAAATTACAGGGGAAGGAAGAGGGGAAGAGGAAAAAACGTTGAAGACAAGAAATGCGAATTAAGCGGTGAAGGTAGTTGGTGGCCCTGTAGCCCCATTAGCAGTAACGGAGACACTTCACATCTGAGACATTAACAACGACTACAACAACAGCAGAACAATAATTACAGCAGAAACCTAAAGTTCAAATTATTACCAATTGATGTGCTTACCAAGCAGTGAACTTTCCCATCGCCCAGAGTGGAAAAAAATGTTAGATGCTAAATTGCTGCCAAAAATCTATTGAACAACTGAATAGTGTTCAAGAAGACGTACAAAAAAAATATTAAAAAGACCACAAATGCAAAAGGTAACGAAATTGCAAAAAAAAAATATGTTTATATATTAAAAAACCAGAAGAAAAACAAAATTAAAATTTTAAAAAAATGCAAATAACAGCAAAACCGTTTTCTGGATTAACTGATATTAATGCTGCCGTCTATGAAATGGTAAAATTTCAAAAGGTCAGACAAAAAAAACGTTGACAATGACCACATGTCGCCTTCAACATTGACGGTGATAAAAACGAGAAGAATTTTTCCTTTAATAATTCTGTCTTCTTTTTCCTTCCTTATCCTTGCTTCTCTTCCCTATCTTTCTCGTCCTCTCCTTCTCCTCTCCTCCTCCTCCTCTTCCCCAATACCGATCATCAATCTTACTTTT